TACGCAATATTCTGCAAAAAGTAAATTTGACTTATCAAGAACCTATTGTTTATATAATTCTCGATAAAAGACTAGAACACTACACATGAAGCTTTACAAAACCAGTATAAATTGACCGTCAAACATACAGAAAGATCTTACAAAGTTAGATCATGATAAACTGGTTTGTTTAGCTTGACGTGTAGGTATGTACATGTATGCTTACAAAATATAATAATGCGAACGATAACGCGAATGTATAATTTATTTCAATATTATGAAGGCACACAATTGCTTGTTATTTTAAATATTCGCAAAATATTATGCTTTAAGTCAAGTCATGTTATAATGGGAAATTGGTTTCTAATGCACCTGGGTTAAAGTTGAAAGTCGTGATGATGCTGTCTTGTGTTTTTAATTTGATTGTGATTTGTTTAGTTTAGTTTCAGAATCTTTACATAATGGGTCTTAAATTACTTGTTTTTAAGTTTTAAAATTGGATAGATATGTTATTGCGTTTTGATTGCAACTCATTAATCTCGTTAAATTAAACTCAAATTAAAAAACATTTATTTCAATTAAACCATAATTTGGTACTTTTGAAACGTTTGGTACTTTTGAAACAAATATAAAATAAATTTATAGTCTGTCAGTCTGTCCGTCCATCCGTCCATCAGTCTGTCCCTCCGTCCGTCGAAATTTATAGTCTGTCAGTATGTCCGTCAGTGAAGGTAGGCGCTCGTTCCAAAATGTCGATTCGAGTGGAGAAGAACGAGCAAGAAACTCCATTCGTTACTCTTTTAAAAAAAAAGTCTGTTTTACATTACACTGCTCTGATAAATATACCTATGCTATGTTAAATTGTATCCCCTGCTGACCAAAGGCCTCTTCTCACACGAAGAAAGTTTGAGCATTAATCACCACGCTTGCTCAATGCGGGTTGACGATTTCAAACTTATAATTAGAAATTATAAGCCCAGGTTTCCTCACGATGTTTTCCTTCACCGTTTGTCAGTGGTGTCTAGATAATCTTAGAAAGTACATATAACTCGGATAAAGTCACATTGGTACTTGCAGTTGGTAAATTTTGAACCCGCACCTTAAACCTTAAACCTCCGAGCCACCACGACATACAAAGAGTAATTGTTTTAAACCCCATATTCACCCTTAATATTACATTAAAAATCAACAAACAATATTGTGGTTAACAAAATATACATAAGAACACATACCTTTTTACCGACTTCAAAAAAAGGAGGAGGTACTATGTTCGACTGATTGTTTTTTTATACATTACACACACACCAGTTTATTATATTATCTACCTATACGAATCAGCCAACACATTTTCAACTCTACACTTCGACAATAAAGTTGAAAAAAGGATTTGCTACAAATAAATCGTCAACACTGGGACCCGACCACAAAAGTTTTCAGAACATTTGTATTCGCCAACGAACTGAAGTAGATGACCTTTTTGGAGGTGAAGGGAAGGTCCAAATGGCCTTTTAAATCCTTCAAAAGGCCTTTTGAAGTGTGACAGTGTATCAATACTTAGGATAGAAAGTGATTTTGTTACTGACTTTAAGTTATTCGACAACTTTACCTAATTGTGGTTGAACCTGACGATGGTTTATTGTTTATATATTGTTCATTTTAACCTTTAAGATATTTGTATGCTTTTGTATAACTATATTACGGTATATAATTATATTCCTATAGTCTTTTTTATGGGGGGAAAATCAGCGAATGACTGCTCCCGCCTGGGTGAGGCGGGAGGGGGAGTGTCAGACTCTTACAGACTAAAAATCACACTGTTCCTTCTGCACGTCGAGGCGGAGCCCCGGTAACCCGTTAGGTTCTCCACGACATCCCTATAGTCTAGGAGTAATACTAGGAGTCTGGAACTGTGCCCGGTATATGCAATAGGCTCACCTCCATTACATGGGACTCATAACATAACATAACAAACATAACATCACGCCTTTTTATCCCCGAAGGGGTAGGCAGAGGTGCACATTATACCACTGTACAATGTAACACCCACTTTTCACTATTTATGTTATGAGTCCCATGTAATAGGGGGTGAGCCTATTGCCATATACCGGGCACAATTCCAGACTCCGTGCTACTACTGAGAATATTTAAAAAACCCAGTAATACTTTGCCCGACCCGGGAATCGAACCCGAGACCCCTTGTCTGGCAGTCGCACTTACGACCACTCGGCCAACGAGGCAGTCATAACATAAATAGTGAAAAATGGGTGTTACATTGTACAGTGGCATAATGTGCATCTCTGCCTACCCCTTCGGGAATAAAAGGTGTGATATTATGTTATGTCAGTACAGTTTTATCTATCTTACTGCGACATATAGATATAATGTGTACTAGCTTTTACCAGCGACTTTGCTCGCGTATTCCTGTTTTATCCCATAGTAATCCACTTAATCGAGATAAAAAGTATCCTATTACCTAAGTCAGTCGCGGAGAACCTAACGGTCGCGGAGAACCTAACGGGTAACCGGGGCTCCGGCTCGACGTGCAGGTGAAGGAACGAGGTGGTTTTTAGTCAGTAAGAGTCTGACACTCCCTTCCGCCTCACCCACCGCACTACATAATCTTTTCTCCCAAAATACCGTAGAATATGAATAGGTATAACTACGAAAAATCTATTTTCACCAATAATACTACATCACATCTATCACCAGTTCTCTAATCCCCAATTTTCTAATCACCACCTCTTTTTGTCCACAGAACAAGTAAAGAATGAGTCAGTGGAAAGTGCGAGTGTTTCGACGGGGAGCTCCCAGGAGGAAGTGGAGGAATCCAAGGCCTACATGAGGACTCCAGCGGTAGGGGGAGTAGCTGTAAGGAGTGGGGAGGATGCCCTCCTCACATGCGTCGTGCTAGGAGCCAAAGGTCGGCCAGTGCTGTGGAGGAGGGCCAAAGACCTTCGAGTCCTGACTGCAGGAGGTGTCAGAGTGACCAGGGATGATAGAGTTGAGGTTCTTCATGATGATAGTGAGTATTTTTAAATTTTGTCGTGTTTTTATTATATAATTATGGTGATTTACTTTGAGAAAATTGTTGTTACCCAGCTTTTGATATATTTGATATTTTGGTACAGAGCTTTATTTTGGTACAGAGCTTTATTTTGGTACAGAGCTTTATTTACAGTACAGAGTCTTTTACGAAATAACTTATGTACATAGCTCCAGTTCTGTTAAGCTCTCCAAAAATCTAAAAAATACGTTAAGTATTTCAATTTAAAATATCTAAGATGAAGATCATTTTTGTCTATTTCAAAAGTTGATTACTTACGTTTTCAAATCCCATAAAAATACCGATTTAAAACCTTTCTTTATACTAAACATGTCTTTGTAAGAGTGCTGACAATAGTGAGAGCTTGAAAGCAGTGCAGAGTGAAACACAGTTTTTGTGCGCAAGTGCATCATTTTTGAAGAAACAAAATGATTTATTTGATTAGCGATTCAAAGTGCTAAGTTTCTTGTGATACTGGACACATTTAAGTATCTTATCATATTATCATAGTACTAAACATCACCTTAAAAATCCCAATCTTAAACGCCCGCCCTAAAAAAATATTAAAAAACAATTACACGTGCAACAAATTGAAATTAAAAAGCATTTTCCTTGGGTTCACTTGAAAAACAATTCGTACATAAGCCGGGAGTCGACCTTGCACCAAATACATTATTTACGTGTTACCGAGCTCCCTGAATCTGCAATTATAATAGCTTCTGATAGAAACAGAAGACTCTACTTAGTTTTCTCTTTAAATATCACGGTTTTTTTGTTTAGAGGTGGCTCAGCAGAGATCTTTGAGTAATGTACTAACTTTTTATAATAACTATCGTGAGACGTACAAAATTAAGTAAAATCGCGAGTTACTCACAGAGTAAGTGACTCAGTGAGCTGCGCGACGTCGCCGCGATCTCGAAATATTATCTTATCTCCTTATACTATTATATAAAGCGGAAGAGTTTGTTTTTTTGTTTGTTTGTTTGAACGCGCTAATCTCCGTAACAACAAGTCTGATTTGAATAATTCTTTAAGCTATAAAACATCACACTACGACTAATAGAAGGTGAGCAGAGCGTGTGAAAACGCGCGGAAGTAGCTAGTCTAATAATACAAAACATCAATGAATCCCCGATTGGGTAGATTATATACAACGTAACACTCACTTTTCTCCAATCATGTTAAAATTCCAATGTGTAATAGAGATCAACCAACTGCTATGCGCCTGGCACAATACCAGACTTCGTACTTTGAGAGTGAACCAAACTGAGAGTTTTTGTTCAAAAATTCTATCCCAAATCCCCTTTTTTTATGGCATAACCCGGCAAACGAGCAGACGGATCACCTGATGGTAAGCAATCGGCGTCGCCCATGGACACCTGGAACACCAGAGGCGTTACAATTGCATTACCGGCCTTTTGGGGATTAGGAGTTTGAAGATCGTTGGGGATTCAGGAATTGGGGAGATTGGGGAAGGGGAGGGTAATTGAGCCTCCGGTAACCTCACTCACAGACGAAACACAACGCAAGCGTTGCTTCACGTCTGTTTTCTGTGAGGCTGTGATATCACTCCGGTCGATTCCACACTTATTCCCCTTGGGAATGATATGCGAAAAATCGATATATCTTCGATATATCTTTTTGCACGTCATTGTTACAAGTCGAACATAAGATCAAGAAGGTCGGCCAATGTATTAAATCAGTGTGTTAAACCAATTGCTTTTAATGTGATGAAAACTAAAGAAAAAATGTATGGATTAAGGACGTAAAAAAGGTTGTTTATTAACGCTAAGAATCATACGGCGTTGCACACTATAGCCTACCCATATGAGACAAAACCGTGGGTTTAAATATGTATGTACTAATAAATTGAACACTTTCAGCTGACGAGCCTCTCCCAGGCCCTGGTATCGCGAAGGGTGGCGACGTGTGGGCGCTGGTCATCAAGTCTGTGAAGGCATCAGATGCTGGGCTGTACATGTGCGAGCTGAACACAGAGCCACCTGTCAGGAGCTTCCATAAACTCACAGGTTAGTAAACGTCAGTATAAGTTATATCCAAATAGGTGCTCAATTTTAGGTCGCGCTTAAGTATAGTTCTGTCGATTCTGTCGATCTGTAGATATTTCACTACAAATTAAAATTGTGTAGCCTTTCAGTATACGGGCGTTAACAACTAAACGTCTTAGACGAAATATAACATATCTAAACCTCTATATTATTATGTTTTTGGCTTACCTGTTGACGAGGAACTCGACTAGTTTCAAATAATTACGTGAGTAAGCCGAAAACATAATAATATATTTAGTATGTCTCACGAAAGTTATAATACAAATATCTAAAACTTTATCAAAATTGGAGCATTTTAGAGTCGCTTCTACACAAAATATAACGTGAACGAAACGTGAGCAAATATCTCAAGTTTACATAGAACAACACTCGATCCTTTAAAACAAAAGATGACTGACAAAACATTACAATATGCTTGTACTAATCTTATGAGAAAAAAGTTCTAATTATTTTCTGAACATAAAAAAACTAAATTAAGTAAAAAACGCGGGTTACTCACGTAAATATACTGAAAAAAGCTCTACTAGTTTCGAACCGCAGAGGGGTTTCTTCCTCATGAGCACAGTGAGCTGCCGACGTCGCCGCGACCGCGCACGCTGCTCATGAGGAAGAACCCCTCTGTGGTTCGAAACTAGTAGAGCTTTTCTCAGTATATTCACGTGAGTAACCGTCGATTTTACTTAATTTAGTATGTCTCACGATAAGTATTATACAAATAAAAAACTAACCAAATATTGCACTAATGAACCAATTCTCTTCCAGTGATATCAAGAGGGCTGACTCCACCAGAGAACCAGAACGTCACAGACAGTTACTCAGCCAACATCCCGACGCTCTCGTCGCTGGCTCTGTCACACAACTACACCGACTGCTGCGTCGCTGCCAACGTCACCAAGACCTGCCTCGGCTTCTGCAGCATACAGACCATCCTGGAGGGTACGGGACAAGACCCTGAGACCTGCCAGCCTGATTTTCCTGCTATTGTCAAGTGAGTTATGCTTATTTATTGAATTACTTGCTTTTACCCGCGGCTTCGCGACGCGATCACAAAAGGATAAAAAGTAGCCTATGTGACATATACCACTACATACAGCGCCATCTATACCAATACTTTTGTTTTCCCTCGGGAATATCAAATCTTTTCGGGATAAAAAGTACCCTATTATTTAATCCGGACTTCTAACTTTACGTCTGCAAAAATTCGAAGCAATCGGTTCAGTAGTTATGGCGTGAAAGCGGAACAAACAAACAAACAAACTCACTTTCCGATTTATAATATTAGTAAGGATGTTTTTCGGCTTACTTACGTAATTATTTGACGAGGAACTCGACTAGTTTCAAGCCATGCTAGAGGCTCATTCATGAGCAGTATTCCGCGACTTGCGACACGGCGATGGTCGCGCTGCTACTGTACGTGTGATAATAGTAAAATAATTAAGCGAGGAAGCCAAAAAACATTATAATGAATTTAGTATGTCTCACTAGTGAAAGTCAGAACATATTATCTTATGTAAAGAACAACCATAACACACGAACTATGGCTGCTGGTAGATACAATATACCCAGAGTCACCAACTATTTTGGTGATAGAAGACTAAAAAAGAGAATACCGTATCTATTAAACAGTCTGCCGGCAGACATAAGGAGTGAAACAAATTCAAACAGGTTTAAACGAAAATTAAAGTCATATTATTTAGAAATGTCCTAATAATAATTAAGTATAAGTTTCAACGCCTGTACAACATTTAAATACAAGCACATTTAATTGTAATGTCTAGCGACTCGACCCCGCAGTCAAACCATTCCAACGGTTTTGTGGGGCTTAGATTATAAGATACTTACCTGTGTTTTTAAATAAAATTAATAATAATAAATAATAATAATTATTGAATGTCGTTTTAAGAAATATTTTGTATAGAACTTGATGATACAATTTCGAAATAATTAGCCGTAGTAAATACAATATTAACTAAGCTGCTGGTAAAGTCATTTTAAGTCTATTGCGAACATTATTTTAAAATCGTTTTGCAATCTGAAAGTGATACGCGTAAGTATAGAGTGACATGTACATAATGTAATTGTTACAATCTCAAAAATGAAATTTATTTCGCACATAAAATTACAACAAAATGTTAATTCCACGAAATTATTCATTTTGAACGATGAAACCCTCATTACGATAAACTTTTCGATCAATCTACAATAATTATAATCTCATTAAAACTTCGTCAAACTCGACGCCACACACACAGACACACACCACTACAGACCCCGAAATAACATCAATTCCTCAATACATTAACCGAAACGAAATCACTGATATCCATCCCCACTGTCCGGTAAATAGGCAATCAATCACCATGCATTTATTAAGATAAATCGGACCTTCTATTGTTACCAACTATATATATTTTACAACAGACATTTATCAAGAGCCAGCAGCTTTATAAGGGTCTAATAAACTCAGAGTTTTCTCTCCGGTGAGGAAACGGAAAATACGGTAAATTACATTTCAATAGAAATATCCTTGCAGAAAGTCGAAGAGTTGAGCATTGATAGATTTCTATTTGAAGATATATTTAATCGAAGATTAATCTTTGCGTATTTTTCAAGTGTTCTGTAATTTAAGATCTGTCTATTTCGTATCTATCTAGATTAAAGCAAACAACTGAAGACGGTGTTTTTATAGTAAATATCGTGTGACATACTAAATTAACTAAACAGCGCAGGTTACTCACGTGAATATACTGAGAAAAGCTCTACTAGTTTCGAACCACAGAGGTTTCTCAGTATATTCACGTGAGTAATCCGCGATTTTATTTAGCTGAAGACAGTGGCATGTTAAGCTAAGCGAAAATCTCACCTTAGAAATAATGATTCAATAACTCTTGTATGTACGTTGAATAAAACCGACTTTAACCCCCTCTTTTTTTGAAGTCGTTTAAAGAATATACTAAAACTTATTCCATAGTGTAACAAAAACAAAACAACAAATACTTTCCTGAAAACTGCATCAAAATCGGTTCAGCCAATCACGAGATAATCGCGCACAAGATACCAGTAAAAAATATTAACAGTAAAATCATTTGATCATTGCATAAAAACGTGAATCACTGAGGCATACATCTAGCTAATCTTTATGAAATACTTGCGGAAATTATTATAATTTCGTTATTTTCTTGTTTTTGACTTACACATTCCTATTACTTACGACTGCCTCGTTGGCCGAGTGGTCGCAAGTGCGACTGCCGAGCAAGGGGTCTCGGGTTCGATTCCCGGGTCAGGCAAAATATTACTGTGATTTAAAAAAATCTCTGGAATTGTGCCCGGTATATGGCAATAGACTCACCACCTATGGGACTCGTAACATAAATAGTGAAAATTGGTGTTACATTGTACAGTGGCATAATGTGCACCTCTGCCTACCCCTTCGGGGATAAAAGACGTGATGTTATGTATATTCCTATGATTTAAATCATAGTCCTTGTTTCAGTGTTAAATGCTACTAAATGCTTATTTCAATCTACCAGGTGCATGGCAGATGGTCGTAACCACGTGCCATGCTGTGTGCAAGAGAGAGTGCCGGACATATGCCAAGATGTCTGCCGCGGGGAGTTTACTCCAGTGACAGACAACATCAAAACTCACTACTCCTGTGCATCGTATATGGAGAAAACCTTGGCCTGCATTGTTGAAGGCATTGGTAAGGTTCTTTTAAGTTTTTGAGAAAAGGTTTTATGCTTTTGGATTGTGATCTGGTTATAGGTATATTTAACTCGTCGAGTACCGTATTTATAGACACAATTAAAGAATAATAGGTTGCGGTCACCGGTGACCGCTTGGTGTTTGACAGTTTAAAAGGAGATTGTACATATATAAAACATAATTTAAACTTTAATAGCCGTGATTTGAAGGTATTGATTTCGAAATAAATAACAATTAACTTCTCAAAAGAAGATTGTAGATTAACAATCTTGTAGATTACTTCTATCAACTTGTAGATTAACATTTGCATAAGCAGACATTTGAAAATGAAAATGTATACTTTCGTCTTAAAATCAACATTTGATCACATCAATTCTCAACTCTCTTTTCTTCCACAGAACTCCTCCCAAGTCCACCAGAAGACGTGGAAGTGGATCCTCTAAATGAAAAGCAATTAAACGTATCCTGGAGCCCTCCAGTAGAGAACACAGACTCAGTCATAGAATATGTTGTAAATGTGACTACACTGCGGTCCTTTGACGCTCATTTAATAGACCCATCCGAGAGCTCCATCAAGAACAATGACACTATGAAGACAGTTCTACCTATGACGTATAAAGTGCCTCCAAATAAAACGTACTTTGTAGTCAACGATCTGCTGCCGTTCACGATGTATGAGATCACGGTGACGTCATACAATATCCATGGATCCAGCTTACCTAGTTATGCTATCAGGTAAGTGATGATTAAGTCTTTTTTTTAAGGGGGGAAAATTATTGAATGACTGCTCCCGCCTGGGTGAGGCGGGAGGGAGTGTCAGACTCTTACTGACTAAAAACCACCCCGTTCCTACTCCTGCACTTCGAGCCGGAGCCCCAGTAACCCGTTAGGTTTTCCGCGACATGATTAAATGTCTTGGTTTTGAAAATTGGTGGAATTTGGTTTTTGTTTGCAATTGATTAGAGTGCCATTACTGTCGTGTAATAGTCTATTAGTTCTTTTGTCCTAGTTTCATCCCTATTATGGACTAATATTGATTTATTATTATTATTTCTATAGTCCTAATCGTCATATTTTTCTATCGCAGTGTATTTCAATGAGTACCTATTTTATTTAAAAAAATTCCCAGAAAATCACGAAAAATATAGTCTTTTATTCATGGCTTTATTATATTTGCCTATGTTTAAAAATTCATAAGCATTTCGTTGGAATTGTATTGTATTATTACAATACCTACCTACTATTAAATAAAGCCACCCTTTTGTATAAACCACTTTGAAAATTGGTATTAACGGGAATCGAAAACAAATTTCTATCAAATCTGAACCAGAGCCAAATGGCAGACATTTAAACAGAATATTATAGTTTTATATTTTGAACATCATCAAGTTTACCATTTACTTCAATAATAGGGTACATGCGTAATTTTTATTTTAATGTCCGTCTGGTAGATTATTTTAAAACATTAGACACGTATTTTTTATTTTCTTACAGAAACCAATACTTTCGACGATATATTGATTTGAAATGTCGCGTGACGTCACTTCTATGTACATACATTTTATACGAGAAATGACGTTTTAGCCCCACTCCTAAACTTTGCTTCGTTTTATCTAAGTATTGTTTTTTATACGACAAAATAAAAACATACGTGTCTAATATTTTTTCATTACCTAACTTACGGACTAATTACATTTTTAATTTTCATGGTTGTCACCATCCCAATTACGATAGATACATTATTTATTTGTAAACGAAAAATTGGGATTTGGAATTAAAAAAAAAAATATTTTGGATTTTTCGGTTTTTCGAAAAATTATCAATTAGGTAATTAATTATTAGTATATTATATTCTGACTGTCGTGGTGGTCCGAACATTTAAGACGTCCGTGGCCAATTATAGGCTGTTGATGATGATGATGATAGATTTTGAAATGATGTCTGGTATATGTGGCTTTTTTACATGGGTGGTATAGTGTTTAAGTGCACCTCCTTGCGTGCACATGATTGCGTAAAATAGTTCTACCGGTGTTATAATAAAGCTGTGATTAACATAAACGCTATTGCTGATTCCAAATTCCTTTTGTGCTTATCCTCATTTGTATATATATATGTTCTAGCAAATTTTTATTTCTCGTCAGGGCAATCCACTCTACTGCTCTAGAAATTAAGATTATTTTATTTATTTATTTATTTATTTATTTAGAAAACCAACAGCGATACATATGATATAATACAAAATAAAGATATTACAGTTTAGTAAGGCTAATAATAGGTTTCCCTTCTTAACTTAATTTGTATTTACCATGCGAACGGACTTTAAATAATATTTAAAAATAAAGTTTTAATATAGAATTGAAAGTTAAATATACTACTTGTTATGAAAGAGAGATAATAATATTAATTTAATCAAAATATGAATTAACATAGTAAATGCTTTATGGTGAATGGAACAAAGTTGCTTGCTATTATGTTACTGCTAATTTTCCATAGAATTATGTTACTGCTCTGTTCATTAACAAATTCTTGCAACCAGGTCTCTAACCCTGACTCCTGGAAAGATGAAGTCTACGGATGTAGCGGCAGCCCCCAAGCTGCCAGATGTCCGTGGATGCTGCGTGTCTGCGGGAGTCAACCATTACGGTTGTGTCGATAAACTCTGTGACCCCACCAAGACCTTCGAAATTGCAGTAAGTTGGAGTCATCGAACATCTAAGTGTTGGAACTCATCAAGTTTAAAAATAATTGCACATTTTTTTAAGGATTCTGAAAATATCGAGCTTTGAAATTGAGTCATAGTGCCACCAGAGCTGAAAATCGAATGATTTTTGCACTTCCAAAATCAAAGTTACAACGGTCAAGAGACCATATATATTCCAGAAAATAAAACCAAAATCAAACTGCACTTCAGCAAAAAAAACATCAAACAATCATCACAAACCACCATCGAAACCCAAAACTAATCCCCACTTTCATAATCACCATCACACTTACACATCATTTGTGACTAACGCACGATCACCCAAGAGGACCGTTTTTAACTCCTAGCTGCAGGTAACAGACTTGATGATCTGCGCTCCCTGGGCTGGTGTGACCTTCGGGTGCCTGGCCAATGGCATGGACCATACTCCGTGCTGTCGGTCTAAAGGTCTACCGGAGTCCTGTCTCCCGCTGTGCAGTGGGAACATCACCACTCTTGACTTCAATCACTTCAAGTGAGTATGCTTTGGTATAAGTGGCTTTAGTACGAATGTGTTTTACGTTTCGACGCTCTGATTCGCCAGTTCCGATGAACCAACCAATGAAAGCTGATCGTGTTCTCTTTTCGATTTAGTTAACTTGAGTGCCTTATCTAGTCTAAGTTATCTTTAAAATATTTTTCAGAATCTTAGTTATGATAAGTGATGTTATTGGTTCTTATAGTAAAAACAACGTCAATGAGAATGAGATAAAACCTTACGAATTCATATACCTCTACATACTACCTACACCAAAGAAGTTGTTGGTATCGTTTAGAAATTACCTATTTTTATCTCTTTATTTTGGCCCTAGTTTATAAGACTTCTAACTTTTACCTACTTTAGAATAACAATAGCATTCAACAATAGCATAATTATATTATAAACTACATTTAAAAAAACGGAATTTAACCCCCTCTTCTTTTGAAGTAGGTTAATATTTATACTAAAACCTTCTCCTAAGTGTAATAAACACTTTTCTGAAAACCGCATCGAAATCCGTTCAGATAATCGCGGACAAACTTCATACACACATACAGGTTAATCTAAGAACCTACCTCCTCTTTATTGTTTTTGAAGTCGGTTTAAAATCAATAAATTCACCCACACTCCAAAACACCAAATGGAGCCCGTACCTATGCAGCAGAAATTCCTGCGACCAAGATTAGATCAGAACATTCACAACTCTGTAGAACTAAGTCAGCTAACTTCAAACTCCAACCACTATTGTCATTAGGAATGCCACAAAGTTCCACATAACATGTCCTTCGTACTCACTGATCTTAATTTTACGCTCAATCAGTCAAACAAGTAATTGGATTAAAAATGTATACGTGAAATTGATCTTTAAGTTAGGTTGATTTAACCCTCAAAGTTGTTTGTACTGATTTCACTGTATATACATTACTTAATCGATTACCTCGTTGGGTATGTTTAACGTATACTATAAGTAATGTTGAAAGATGCCATGGTTGGTATGGTGGCTGGGGAACCGACTACCGCGCAAAGTGCCGCGGGTGCAATTCCCACACGAAGCATTTGGGTAGTTTCCTATGTTTAAAATAAATTGTTTTAACTTTTCAATGCAATAAATAAATAAAAAATAATCATACTCTCATCAATTGATTTGACAATATACCTACTTTTGGATTTTTCTCACTAATTTTAAGGAAATAAGTGTGGCTATTTGACGCAGAAATATGATGACATCATAAGTAGCGATCCAATACAAAATCCATTTCAATAAAAGTATTGAATTTGACTACCTGTCGACTACCGTATTCGTTGTGTAATCCACAGATTGTTGTTTCGGGTCTGGGTGTCATGTGTATGTGTATGTTTGTAAACGCATCAACGATACTGAATTTAAAAAAAATGTAATATTATATCTTAATACCTACAATAAAGCTATCACAAGTGCGATTACCGAATATGGAGTCGTAGCTGCAATTCCCGATTGGGGCAAAATTTTGTTGGGATTAATTATTTCCGTTGAATGGCAATCGACTATCCCAGGTAATATAAAACTGGTGGAAACCAAGTGTCACATTGTATAACATATGCAGCTTCTACCTATCTATACCTATATGGTTTGCCAAAAACAGTTTGAATTAAAAAGATAAACATTAAAGCTTCAATTGCCTTCAGACTTTAAAACACTTCTCTGCTCTAGATCGGACTTAAAAGGAGTAATTTAAGTGAAAAGAGATTTACATAATCTCATAAACTTAACTGTAATAGGATTGCTTAAAAAATCATTTGAATAAAGAACTTATTTTTGGATTTAACTCTTTGAGTACCGTCATTATAGACACAATTAAAGAACAATAGATTGCGGTCACCGGTGTCCTCGCGGTGTTTGACGGTTTAATGACCGTACCTTTCACTGTTTCTTTGGCCTTATTATATTTTTTATGGGACAATCCGATAAACACATCGGCGGATCACCTGATGGTGAGATCGGCATCACCCATACCGGCCTTTTGGAATTTAGGGATTGGTGAGATTGAGGAGGGGGGTTAATTGGGCCTCCAGTAACTTCATGGTTCTTTCACGACGGTTTTCTGGGAGGCTGTGGTATCACTCTGGTCGAGTCAGCCCATTCGTGATAAGCGTCGTTTCCCAACACTTATGATTGCAAGGTCGACTTTCGAATAAAAGATACTAGGTTGAATCTGCAAAAACGCACTGTGAATCGATTTTTTTTACATTTACTGTGATAGTCGACATAAATTATTGATTTAATTATCTAGCGATGTGTGATTACTAGGTTTGCTACTTAGATTGTACAATTTATAGTCATTTGAATCTGTTTATAATGGCTATAATCGTCTGTAACAATACAAGTAACTAAAAATTACAACATTTTTGTCCACTGGTATTGTAGGTACCCATGATTTGTGTCAATTATTTATCAGCAGATAATTGTGTGACTCACAAAAATGTCATAATATGTTCATCAACTTAAACTTTAAGACATTGTCACTCTAATCTCACTAAATACGAGTTTTACTGCACAACTTTAGTATTACTAAAATAATCTTTAAACTATATAATATCTAACTTGAGGCCACGAAAGTTTCATAATAACTTGGGCTATCGTGTTGAAGTTTATTTGCAAGTGCTACCCGTATCCGAGTTATCCTTTACACTGTTGGACGTTACTTCAAGAGAAGCCAGTTTGCATTTCACATTTATTGGCTACTCTTTGATAACCTACCTACCTACCTACTAAAATTACTGTGTTATAAAATGTTTTAGTAGCTACAAGTTATAAGAATTTTGTTTATGAAGTAAAATGTTCAGTGTCAAAACGTTCACTAAATAAATATAATTCACTAAATAAATATAATTATGACCGTATTCACCATCCACCCCTAAACTATCTCTTAACTCTTTAAGTGTGGGAGAGCCATGCTTCAGCACGAATGCGCCGGCTTGAACGGAGTGAATTCACGGTGAATTATCTATTATGAAACACAACCAACATTTTTCATGAGACAAGTCCGCCACAACCTCCCTCATCATCCCTGTAAGCCAGAATCTATCTTCAGTAAATACAACCATGAAAACACCGGTCGTCTGAAGTCTAGCGCGTCCCAGGGACATGAATAACTCTCTTGGTTCCCCGCAACGAAATAAACACAACCAAAATCTATATTCGTCCGATGAATCAGCCCATAGGAATAAACAATCTGTGCCTACATAACTCACATTTCTGATGATAAATATCAAAACACCAAATATTCTCAAGTGCCAAGCCACGTCAAGATACTTGCCTTTGTTCTCAATCTCAACACCAGAAATGGATACAAATACAAAATATTATAAAAACCTCTCGCCTCTTGAAATGTCTTGGAACCCCTAATAAAGTGCACTTACCTCGTTCAATCGACACAGCAAGGACCCTTAAATTTCTTTGAAGGTTCCTACTCCAGGGTTTCACGAAACAAGTCCATTTTTTAATCAAAAATATTCTGCACCGATCACCTTCAAAAAGGCCAGGTGTATTGTTGTGTTACTTAATTTATTAACAATGCTGTGTGAATCATTTTACTAATATGGAGTACGCGAAGTTGTAAAGTAGGATATAAATGAAACTTGTTTTATCCTGAATGTCTTTATACATCGCTGTAGGTATAAGATTTTTTAAAATTCGGTCGCGGTTCCTTTCACATGAATAGATTCAATACCTTTACTGAATTATAGTCTTTATATCAAGAAGACCTCTTCTATAATCATCAATATTTCCACCAGGTGCCTTCGCTATATGAACTCTTACACCAACTGCCTCCTCCGAGGCTACGGAGTCCTCCCTGGAGCTCCCTCGCGTCTGTACCTGACGAACATCGACACAGACTATGCAGTGGTGCACTGGTCGCCTCCTGCGGCCTTGGCTGACACCGTGCAGTATTATAATCTTCATTACAAGACTCTGCAGGCTGGAGATGAATACAGGGTTCTGGAAAAGGTAAGACAAGGCGAACACATTCAGTTAATCACTCTTTACAATGAAATGATAAAAGTGGAATATTAGAAGAATAATGTTTCTTGATTTACAACTTCATCAATTTTGTTCTTGAGAACTACGAGCTACCTACTGATGAAGTATTAAAATCATTGTCTCAAGCATAATAAGAAAAAAGTAGGTACTGCTTATATGTGACTGGCATGTTCACTACTTCAGTCACTTGAATTCGCCGCTCACTTTGACCATTTTTACAATTTGATAAAGTACCAAACAATTTAATAGTGTGATCACATTATGCCGTGTTTCTTTCTCTTCATCCCTTCTTTTTTTCGTTCAGGTACACTCACCGTATATCTTAGAGGACCTGGAGTCCAACATGGATTATGAGATCTATTTGGAAGCTGTCAACGAACACGGAGTGGGAGACGCTTCTCCAAGACTCATCTTTAGGACACAGAGTCAAGTAAGTCATCATCTCTTAACTAAGAGGTACTTAGCGAGAGGGAGCACCTAAACTCATCCCCTAACTTCTCTTAGAAGTGTCACTTATATCGTTAAGTGTCACGTATCTTAGAAAATCAGGGGTTCCTTATAAAAGAGTAGTGGGAACAGTCAATCTACCAAAAACTGAAAATATATTCTTCTGTATCTCAGGTGATAGAAAGAAGAAGAAGTAGCGAACTCATACAACGTGACAGCGTGTTGCGAGCGTGTCCAGCTGGCTGGCGTGTGTATGCCGCTGTGCTCGTATGACGCCAAGATGTCCGACCTGAGGATGCTCGCTCCACTCTGTGCGCAGGACTTCCACAAGCTGCTGAGATGTGGTGCTGGAGGTAAATTAACAAAGTGCTACTTATGCTGGAGACAACATTGCTAGGATTTTGTCTTTGGAAACTAACTGGTTACTTTCCACCATCGTTTAGAAATCCCTCTTATCTAAATAATAGATAAACATTTACTAGGTACCAATATTTTGACATGTTAAACCAAGAACCCGTAAGAGTAAGGGAACACGTATCAAATTGAATCTTATCGATTGAATTTGATATAAATAAGTTTATTTCCTGTTCATTATAGATAACTAAAAAATTTTACATACTTTCAATATTTAAAGTTAATTTAATAGAATTTATTAAAATGAGCCCCATGTGCGTGCGCAGGCCGCAACCACGAGCAGTGCTGCGCGCGGCGCGGGGTGCCGGGCGCCTGCCGCGGGGTGTGCGCCGGCGCGTACAGCGGGGGGGTCAACTCCTGCGTGCCTTACATCGGGAACATCGTGCAGTGCTTCGAGGAAGGTAACGTATGGTTTTAAATCAAAGTCGATTTTTTGCAGTTTTTTAATGCACGCATGAGTTAAATTTGTTTTAAAAAGGATTCCATAGCATAATATAACAACATTTAAGAGACATAAAAGAAGAAACCACGACAGAAAACTAATTATCTTCTCGTCCGCCAGGTACCGGTCTTCTACCAGGTCCTCCAAGGGAACTGCATGCCCTGGTGAACTCCAACAGCGTGTTCCTGGACTGGAGCACTCCTCAGGACGGAGCCAACGCCACCTCGTACGTGGTCTACTGGCAGAAGATAGACAATAACTCGCAGCCCTACAGCTACAATACCATGCAGAGTACTTACAATGTAAGTGGTTTTTTGGTAGAAAATAACGTGGGTTCATGTCTTGAAGGCAGATAAGAATATATTGTGGAACACCGACTTGTTCTGATGATGAGTCTCTATATAATTTGGCCCTTCTTTAATACCCTTAACTGACGAGCATTATGAAAAGACTGATGACTGTTAATGAAGCGAAAGAGGTATGTAAGAATCGTAGCAATTGGCGTTCCATAGACTCTGCCTACCCCCATAGGAGACGTGTGAGATTATGCATCTAGATATATACCGCGGAACATAGTTAATAGAAAAATTTACGTATTACAAGTTGATGCTGTTCCATTATAACTACCACCATCATAACTATCTTCAAGGCCCGTGTGAATAGGATGTATATGGGTCGACGTGCTCCATCGTAGGCCACATCATAGCTTACCACCAAGCGAGATAAACGTCAGTCCCATCAACAAAAGAAACACAAACACAGTACTTCTTAAAGAACAGACCCAATAGTATGATAAACAACAAAATGAGTACACTAATTTAAATAAAATACAAACTAACAATCGTAATATTTCCACACAAAACCGTAATATTCTTTAGCAGCAGCAAATTGCAAGGATTCTGTACTGGGAGTGCAAGGAACTCCCCAAATCCCCGAGCAATTTCGAAATTGACAATCCTCAACTACAGTTAAAAAATCGATAGAGCACTATAAAATATCTAGTAATCTACGAAGGAGGAGTAAAATGCATTTGCCTTTTGATTTGATCCAAAACTCATTAAAACCTCTTTTTTGACTGCCGGTATTTAAAACACAATAGAAATTAATAAAATGTGGCTCTAGTATATCTACGTTCCACAGCTTAATAGAAGTATGACTGTCAAAAAATTTATTATACATTTAAAAATTTACATTGATTGCACGTTTGGTATCAAGGAATAAAACACACGTACTATAAAATCGAACAATGTCATCCTTAAGAAGCATGACGTTTAAAAATGTCTACGATACTTTGACTGCACGGTGGCTGGGCAACTGGCTGCCGCGCAACGTGTCGCGGGTTCTCCCCCACGGAACAACTCTTTCTGTGATCCAGAGATTGTTGTTCCGGGTCTGGGTATCATGTGTATGTGAACTTGTATTTTTGTAAACGCACCCACGACACAGGAGAAAATCCTAGTGCGGAGCAACGATTAAAAAAAAATCAAAAACAAACAATACTCCCCAAAATATTTGGTTCAAACTGGAAATTGATTTCAAAATCATTTCAGTGTAGTAGTTTATAAGGAAGCTATACTAACACCAAAAATCAATATCTAATACTTATAAGCTTACGATAAAGAACTATATGCAGGTCGTATCCAACCGGCCTATTTGGGAGTCATTGGGGGAGGCCTATGTTCAGCAGTGGACGTCCTGTGACTGATATGATGATGATAATGAAAGAACTATTGCTCTGTCGACCCTAAATCTTACATCAAAATATTTCCTGTCTACATAAATCTTGACTTTGTACACCGCCGGTTAAGAATCTCTACAACTCGAACTGGCAATCTGGTAAAGGTAACTAAAAGCTAGGAGGAGGAAAGCTCTTGTATTTCAGTTTAGTACGGCAACCCATTAAATTCTTCTGACCCACTAAACATCTGCCATTAGGATTCCAGTAGAACGTCCATTGAAATACACCTTTAGTGCTAACAATGGATTTCTTAGGTTTAGAACTAGGTCGTTATGCAATGCTAGGTACCGTAGCTAGAGTAAGAACGACATATAACTTTAAAGTGTAAGACATTTCAGAACTACACTATTATGAGCTTTTGTGAGTATAGTTTTAACTTCATGTGGTATTCCTATATGAAGTTAAAAGATAAAAGACATGTGTTGGCGACACAAGCAAAGCCTGATGATTTCGGCTGACATATTCTATGGCGACAACGCGCGCCATATGTCCACAGCGACGTTGATGTTGCCAGATATGTCGACCAGCGTCTGGCAACGTCGCTGGCCACATGTGTTGCAGGATATTTGTCCCCTAGTTTTTCCTCAATTTTATGAAAGTATTTTTACCATAACCGTAGTTTAAGACGGACAAGTAAAGCATTTGTTTTACCCATAAAGGTGATTTAAGGCTCTGGATGAGAGAAATTGTAATTATAGTTTTCTATTTGTAAAACGTAACACCCACTTTTCACTATTTAAGTTATGAGTTCCATGTAATAGGGGTAAGCCTATTATGGCAATACAGAGCATAATTCCATCATACTTTGCCCGACCCGGGAATCGAACCCGAAACTCCTTGCTCAGCAGTCGCATTTGCGACCACTCGGCTAACGAGGCAGTCATTAAATTGAACCCTCTGATAAAACACTACAGACCAACCAAAATGCAAATGCACAAACAATAATTACAACCTTCAGAGAAACACACAAGATAAATATTTACCCCATAGGTAGTACCTACTACAAAATATCTAACCCAATATTATTTTGTCCTTTAGAAACTCAACGTATCAGACACATTGACCCACATCAATGACCTGGAGAAGAACAGCACATACCACGTGTTCGTGGTCGCCGCCAACGTCTACGGAGAGTCCCTGCCTTCCAGCATGCTACTCTTCAATGTGTCTGAGACTGGTGAGTGATTCCTCAACATCATTAAATGAGGAAATGTGTCTTTATCTAGAAGTATACTATCCTTACTAATATTATAAATCGGAAAGTGAGTTTGTTTATTTGTTAGTTTCGCTTTTACGCCGTAACTACTAAACCGATTGCTTTAAAACTTTGCAGACGTAAAGTTAGAAGTCCGGATTAAATAATAGGGTACTTTTTATCCCGGAAAAATTTTATATTCCGAGGGAAAACAAAAGAATTTGTATAGATGGCACTGTGTGTATTGGTATATGTTACATAGGCTACATTTTATCCTTTTGTGACGCGAGCGAAGCTGCGAGTAAAAGATTGTATTATTATAAAGCTAAAGAGTTTGTTTTTTTGTTTGTTTGTTTGAACGCGCTAATCTCCGAAACTACCAGTCCGATTTTAATAATTCTTTTTGTGTTGGATAGTACATTTACCGAGGAAGGTTATAGGATACAAAACATCACGCTACGATCGTTAGGAGCCGAGCAGAGCGGGTGCAACCGCGCGGAAGTAGCTAGTTATGAATAAAATAGGTCTGCAGACGAGCTGACGGATTATCTGATGGTAAACACTCAGCGCCACCCGATACCCGAGGAGATTTAGGAATCCGAAGTATCTATTTGCTGTCATTCTTTAGTGCAACTGAGTGATTTAGTTGATAGATTTTTATATCTGAAGATAGGACGATAGAAACTGACATAGGATTCTTTATTTCCTTTGATAGTAACAACTAGCTCATAAGTCCATCGTATTACTTGGGGTGTGGAGTTCGAATTATTGTGTGCATAACTTTTGTACACTGTAGTTTGTCTGTTGTTATTATTGCTCTCTTGCGGTAAGAATATATTTTATTATGTAATTTTTCTCTCCAACAGAAGAGAAGGAGGTAGCAGGAATCCCGTCGCCACCTCACTCTCTATCCGTCTCCTCTCATTCTGCAACATGGCTGACTTTGACCTGGCAGCCTCCACAGTTCTCACAACCTGATGAGAAGATCTCATATACGTGAGTACAGCTTTTTTAAGAACAAATGGATACCCGCAACACCTGAGGAGTTTCAAGTGTTTTGGTAGCCTTTGGAGGGGGAGTACCCACCGTACGACAACACAACACAAGCGTTGTTTCATTCCCGTTTTCTATAAGGCTAATATCACACCGGTTATGCCGGCCAATTCAACAAGTAACCGCGAGGACACCGGTGACCGCAACCTATTGTTCTTTAATTGTGTCTATAATGACGGTACTCAAAGGGTTAATTGGTGAATTCCGATATCGTAAATCTCTCTCAATTACTCATTACTCTATTTGACGATCGTAGCCCCAACCTTGTCAGTGTTTAATAACATGTTGCCAAAGAAGAGAAAAATATTTTGCTAAACAAAAGCAAACACTAATTCATAATGAATGAACATCCGCAAACCGTGCCAGGCTTTTTCTTAAAAAAGATAAACTCCATGTTTAAAGCGAGGGAAAAGTTTGAGTAAAATACTCAAAAGACTTAGTTTTGTTTTTTCCTCAACACTTAAATATACTGTGGGAATAATGCTAAAGCTAATACTAGTGTTCTAACGTTTTTTTACTTTAATATTATACGGAACTTTTCCTTGCTCGTCGGTTTTTTCCACCGGTTTATTTTTAGCTGGTAAGAGGCTCCAAACTTGGTCCTTTCTGGACAACTATCACTGATATTTTCTCATTGTTTATCAAGAATAGAAGATTCTAAAGTTATTAACACTTTATAGAGCATTGACTACAAAGTGCAAGGCCTTAGAATTTATCCCTTAACAGTTTTTAACGACTTCAAAAAAAGGAGGAGGTACTATGTTCGGCTGATTGTTTTTTTTTTTGTTTTTGGATTACGCCGTCTCAGAATATGAAATAAAATAAAATACTGGGTTACTCATGTCTAAAGTTAGTCTTTTAATCACCCCACCTCTACAACAAAAACACCTAACTTGAAAAATACTAATATATCACCAATATTTCAGATTATTCTACAAATCACCATCTCAATTAAGCCAGACCAACGTGACGAACATTACTACGACAGTGCCGGGACATACGCTGGAGAAGCTGGCACCAAACACCCAGTATGTCATCTGGGTGAAGGCCCATGCTGCTGCTGGAGACTCACAACCCTCGGAGACGTTACTGGCCTGGACTGACCCAGCTTACCCTGCATATGTTGAGGTGAGTCGTTATTGGATCTTATTTAATTATTTATTTCAATTTTGAGTAACCAATAACTGTAATATTAAAAAGAATAACAATTCAGGATATGCTTATAGTAAACCAATTATATGTTTCCACAGCTAGCTTCAGTATATCTTTATAGATAGAAGTTTTGCGAATGCAATGCACATAAAAGTAGAAAAATTTGGATATATCTATTCAGTAAATTAAGGTTCAGTCGCCTATACACCCTGGATCTGCTTGTGGTAAATGGATCGAGTCCTAAATCTTTGTACGATTTCTGCTCACTCGAATTTTTTCGGAATAATTTAACAAAATAAGCACAATCCGCTATTCGACGGCGATTTATAAGTAGTTGCAAATGAAATCTTTTGCATAGTTCTGTATAGTTATCCGATCGATACAGTATCTTCAGACGGAAGACGGACGTCCCATTGGGAATTGAAACCCAGCTTGGAATATAATTACTGACAACTACGGATGTTTAAGCAATTAATCAAATGCGATAAGTTCACATGATTTTTTACGAGTCTTCACAATCGAATAATGTAATCAAAGTCAAAAGTATTAATTTTATTTCCATAAAACGACACTTAATCACTTTTTAAACCGCAACATGTGTTTTTACCGTTTGCGTCTTTTTATATTTATTCGAATGGGATCGCTAAAAATGTAAATTTTCCATTTAATATGTACGTATACCTATCCTTATTATATGATATTCGTGAAGTATAAACTACGAACTAAATATAATATAAAAATCTAACCAATAATACAATAGAATCTTAACAAATAACTTAAGGAAAACAGATATACAAAGAAACGTTTAAAATTAAAAAGAATAATAAACATTTGCATTTTAACTTAAAACTTAAACATTGTACTTAGAATTATTGAATGCAATATCTTACGGCAGGCGCGAGGCTTACTTTGCCTCGGCGTTGAACATTTTAATGCAAATTGGCCCTTTTGAAGTGTTACAAGAAAATATCTGAATATAAAAACTTCAAAGGGCAATGGAAAGTCTACTGATGCATTTATTTATGTACTGTATGCAATTGAAGTTATTTATTTGTAGCAGGATTTTTATAAAGTTCCATGATTGTAACTTTGAGTTTGATTGTAGCGTGGGACTAAGTACGACTGGGTGTTTTTGGATTTTAGACATCAACTTTAGAACATTTTGGAACACTTTGGAACAACATAACATCACGCCTTTTATCCCTGAAGGGTATAAAAAGTAGAGGTGCATATTACGGCAGTTAATGCCACTGTATAATGTAACACCCACTTTTTACTATTCATGTTATGAGTCTCATGTAATAGGGGGTAAGCCCATTGCCATATACCGAGCACAATTCCATACTGGTATTTTTTTTAATCCAGTAATACTTTGGCTGATCCGGAAATCGAACCCGAGATCACGCCCCAGCATTCGCACTTGCGATCACTTAACCAACGAGGCAGTATTACGAGAGAAACCATCATATTACGCTTAGCTTTTTGAGGAAATAGACTAAGGAGGCCTAGTTGACCTGCATCTCTGTCTACTCCATCTGGGATTAAAGAGCATATGCTTATCAAAGATCATAGCCACAATTCCTATACTGAACTAAAATACATCATATCCATAACCACTAGACTGTAATATTAAACACCAAAGCAATATAGTTCGTATTGCAATGTGGCTCGGCCGCCATCTTAGAATGCGAAATGTATTTGTATTTAAATTGCAAGAACAGATTGCATTTCAAAATTAATATAGTATTTCAATTCGTAACTGAGATAATTGCTTTCATGGAATTTGTCCAATTAGTGAGACGTGGCTATTAAAATTGTAACGATAATAATTATGTACTCGTATTAACCGCATTTGGGTGTTGTTTATTTGTTAGTATATATATTATAAGCTTTCTTACTCTGTATTTTAATAAATGCCAACAATTATTTTGTTTGTTTAACTGCGTAATACGTACCGAAGTTATTTTCATATATCTATTTTTTTTATCGAATAGGAGGCAAACGAGCAGATGGATCACCTGATGTTAAATGTAATTAAATGTAATTTTAAATGGAAAACAAAGTTCCTATTGTGTCTGTTTCTTTATTTGTAATAAACTAGAAAATTAGTTATCAGATTTTTGTGTAAATTTCAGAAATAGCTAGAGTGATATTTGACTAAAGTATTTGGGTATAGTTAAAATGTTTAATGTAGCTCGATTATAATTATATCATTCACGTCAATTATTAATTTTTTAACTTCTTCCAATACTATCTTAATCTCTGCTCGTCTATGTCTACTTATTTTAATGTTATCTTTGTCCAACAGCCGCCATCAGTGAACCCAGTGAACCTAGTAGTAGAAGGATCTAGCATGACCATTCTCTGTATCGCCATGGGAACACCCACACCGACCATCTCATTATACATCTCTGGTAAGTACCTATTGTATTGGTAGGCACAGTAACTGGGTGATCAACTGTTAACCTGCAAAGCCTTGCAGGTGCAGTTCTGTATACGGCCATAATTAATAAACATGGTCCCATTTGGGCGCCATTTCTAGATACACTAGTCCCATTTGGGTGCCAATAATAAAATTTACTTGTAAATGATACTAAAATACTATTAGGTACGATCTAACATTTTATTTTATTATTTCTTTTATCATATTTCATGACTAAAAGCAATAAAGCTTATTTTACAAAACCATAATTGAATATTACTAAGAAATGTCTAGAACATTAGACAAGACCTAATAACATGAAAACTATAAGACCTAAGTCAGAAGGTACATAGATACATTAGTTTATGCTGAAGCTAACTGCTATTTAGAAGCGTCCGAAAATCATTTGAAAAAAAAATGTACCTAATCTTCTTTAAGTACAAATTATAGGATTTCCATAATTTGTATTACTTTCAGTTGCTCACCAAAACAAAGTTTCAAAGTTCATTTTCTACCTAGCGATCAATTAATTACGGCTTCCTAATTCGTATATGTTGAAATAGGAAGTAGTAATTTGGCTTCTTACCTAATTTCTGCACTGTTTCTCGGAACTTCTGTCAATAATTCCTACCGTGGTTATAAAGAGACCGTCAGATCTTACCCCCAGGGGCTGCGACCAATCGTTTTCCAATACAACGCCGCTTTATGTTGATTGGCTTCATCTAAACCTTGGATTATTGATTTAGAAAACAATCGCCTTCAACTTTAAAATATATTTGATATGATATATTATGAACGATTTATGTTATTGAAACGTTTATAAAGTTTATCAAATTCTGTAATTTCACATACACATACCACTCAGACCCAGAACATCAATTTGTGGATAATTTTTCGGTGTGAGAATCGAATCCATGACACATTATGGAGTAACGAACTGCCCAGCCACTGTGCTTACCGTGCAATCAAAGTAGCACCTAGTTAATTAGTTAATTACAAAATACTAATACAAATTGCGACGCTATCCCTATTTAAAAATATCTCTTGCATTTAAACTTCAGTAATTATAGAAATCTACCTTCTCCACCAGGTCGCCTCGTCCGTCAAGAAGTGACACGTCACATGGTAACTGTGATCCACAACGTGACTAGAGACATGGATCAGATATCCTGCTACGCCGACAATGGATACGGCACTCCCATGCAAGCCTCCAGAAAGATCAACATCTCACGTAAGTCACAATCGCCCTTCAAATATGTGTTGAGTACCCATTGTTCCGAAAAAGGTACATTTTTGTCAGTATGACTTTTATTTGACCTTAGTATCACGTTTCTGCACCTAACACTATCGAAGTTCTTGGATATTGACGGCCAATTAATGTATAGATTCAGGCGTAACTTTGCTCAAAACTATACTAAAATAATGCATACATAACATCACGCCTTTTATCCCCGAAGGGGTAGGCACATTATACCACTGTGCAATGTAACACCCACTTTTCACTATTTGTCTTATGAGTCCCATGTAATAGGGGGTGAGCCTATTGCCATATACTGAGCACAATTCCAGACTTCGTGCTACTACTGAGATTTTTTTAAAACCCAGTAATACTTTGCCCGGCCCGGGAATCAAACCAGACCCCTTGCCCGGCAGTCGCACTTGCGACCACTCGGCCAACGAGGCAGTCTAAAATAATACTACAAGAATAAATTAAGTACATATGTTTGTTAAACCAATTAATGTATTTCAGTTGATAAATTAGTAATTTTGCTCGTATAATATACGTATATATAGCCACCGTATCATATTATTAGTTTCAAACGCAAGGCTATAATCACTTGTCCATTCCCATCCAGATGTACCCACAATCCAAGCGTCTGGTATCACAATGGCGGCTGCTGGAGATGCCGTGATCCTCGAGTGCCGAGTGGAGGCCCTGCCTAAACCTACCATCGCATTCTGGAGGGATCCTAATGGCAGAACTCCTGTCATTGATGGACCTAACTACACTATACAGCTGTTGGCTGATCCTGAGGTAAGTGGGAATAATTCCAGGGCTTTTGGTAAACTAGGGTATTGTGAGATTTTAACTTTAATAAAAAAATATTCATGTTGTTTGCTCAGACAGCAGTAAGAATCCCAGTTTGACTTGAAAGTATTTGAGCAACCTTGTAGCATATCGAAAACAGTAATAAAAAATTAGAAATCTGATTAGATTAGCTATTAACTACATTTTTATTCTGAATACGATATGCTAATAAGATTCGCCGTAAGACGGTTGAACAAAAACATTTTGTAAATCTACAAAATCACAACCACAGTATTTCAATTTATTTATACGCTGGCAAAAGTTTCTTGATCCACGTAATAGTATAGAGGGGACGTGTGGAAGTCGTTTTGATCCTTGTTAACAGTTTGTGACCAAGTTTCCAATAGCTACATAGTTCTGCTCGTAAAATGATACAGCCAACGACAGGGCGACCGAAACTTCTTGCATCTAAACTTTTCACGCTCACAACTCGAATTTTCGTTTCACGGTTTACAGTGTACGCAATCTTGTTGTTTACTTCATTTACTTGTGGATCTTTGTAATACTTGGATGCAAGTAGCTTTCTATACAACTTACTAAGATAAAAAAGAAAGAAAGAAAAAACATGTATTCAGCACCAGGCACGATGCATGTTATGTAGCTCATTTGTACTAAGTCAGATTTCAAGTAAAGATCAAGTGTTGGATCTGGATTAATTATGTTTTCGGCTTACTCACATAACTGTTTGACGAGGAACTCGACTAGTTTCAAGCCATGCTAGAGGCTCATATTCATGAGCAGCATTCCGCGACACGCGACGCGGCGACTCTCCTTGTCATTTTACATGAGTAAGCCGAAAACATAATAATTAATTTGGTAAATCTCACGATTTCTTGATTTGAGCCTTGGAAATGAAAATATCAGTAAAATATTCTTTAGATACTTGCCAAAATAGTGTTAATGCTAACAAGCAAAATTAACCTCTACTACCATAAGATAACTTCGAAAAAGAAACATAACTCCTATACTATTGTTTTTCTCTTTAGGAACAAACCAAGTACACGATGCGTCTGATAATAAAGAAGATAGCAGAAGCAGACGAAGGGGACTACTTCTGTCACGCGGAGAACGCGTTTGGAAAGACTTTGAGACCGGTCTCTGTGAGACTCAGGCCCACCATGCCTCACCACAATGTCACAGCATGCTGTACACAAGTAAGTTGAGTTTTTGGAACATTTTTTATGGAGCACAAACGAGCAGACAAGTAACCTGGTAGTAACCAATCTACGCTGGCCACGAACAGCCAGAAGAGTTACTAGTGCGTTCCCCATCTTGTGGGATGAAGGATTTGGCCTCTGGAGGTCCGCTAACTTCACTCTTTATTCGGTGTAACCTGTATAACCTGGGTGGCCTTAGTGAATAGGATGCTTATGGGACGACGTGCTCCATCGTAGACCGCATCATCGCTTACCACTAGGCGAGATAGTGGTCAAACGTCGGCCCATCATATATAACAAAAAAGATGTATTGTTTCACCGCGGTTTACTACGAAGTCGTTTTCTTTGAGCAGATCCGCTCGACTACAACGATAATTCGTGTCGCAGAATGCGTGAATATATTATGTCGAAGAATGGATAGTCTAATAAATAAACTACGAAATCTGTAATACTCCCGTTGGTTGACCTCTATTTCTATAATAATGGACACTGTCCGAAATGTACTATAAAATAAATACAGATACCTAAGCATTGTTATAAATGAAACCACAAATACCATAGAACTCCCCGTCAACAAACGCCAGTCAAAACTCCAAACTTAACATAGAATAACTTACAAGACAATCGAAATTAGACAACGTTACGTCCTACACAAACACCGACCAATCCGGTGACAATTTCAGCCTTAATTTAGAAGGTTCAACATCTAAATATAAACTATGAGAAACAGTAGCCACTGAGATCTTGGAAAACATTAATTTTGGAAGGTTTCTCGATAATTTGATGTGTTTGGGACTCGAACGAAGTTGATCTTATTTGTAAGTTTGATACCAACAGTTGTTTGTCGAAACGTGCCTTGGAACAATATTAGGGAAGGTACAGGAGTATGAAAACAAATTAAGTTCTGAATGGAATTTGCTCTCTTGTCTGATTACTATTTTTGGTTTGTTTTTGTTTTGATATCCTTAACAGTTTGATATTTTGTTTCGTTACTCATTGTCGTCGTGGTGGCCCGGAGGTTTAAGACGACCACTTCTCATGCATGAGGGTACCAATGTGACTTTTTCCGAGTTATATGTACTTTCTAAGATTATTTAGACACCACTGACAAACGGTGAAGGAAAAACATCGTGAGGAAACCTGGACTTATAATTTCTAATTATAAGTTTGAAATCGCCAACCCGCATTGAGCAAGCGTGGTGATTAATGCTCTAACCTTCTCCGTGTGAGAAGAGGCTTTGCTCAGCAGTAGGCATTTATAGGCTGTTGATGATGACTCATTGTTGCATTTTCCCTTACAGTTTGGTTTTCTCTTGTTAAAATTTGTGTAATCGATTTTCTGCATACGATTTAAAAGTAAAAAAATTCTAAACTTAGTTCTTCGCACAAATCTGTACCTGTACAAAAATGGATTCCCTCTATTAACTGCATAGTTAAATATAATTATGATATCCACACCAACTGGCAGAGGTTACATCGACCTTAACAAACTATTAACAAAAACGAGCTGGCGACGATGATGATGATAATTGTTCATATATTCTGTTCTCTCTGTTTAGATGAACGTGTCATCATCCTGCATAGACGCGTGCAGCTTCCACCTGGAGATGGACAACATCATGGACCGTCCGGAGTGTATGAACGACTTCGACAAACTCATGAAGTGTGCTGCTGACGGATCTGGTAAGTACCGACGGAAAGTTTTTCTTCCACGACCTTTAAAAAAATTTTGGAATATATATTCCGTCTTATCTTATTAAAACAAATCCTTCTGCTCTCCTTGGCTGCCTCGATGGCCAAGTGGTCGCAAGTGCTACTGCCGGGCAAGGGGTCTCGGGTTCGATTCCCGGGTCGGGCAAAGTATTACTGGGTTTTTAAAAAAAAATTCAGTAGTAGTACGGAGTCTGAAATTTTGCCCGGTATATGGCAATAGGATCACCCCCTATTACATGGGATTCATAACATAAATAGTGAAAAGTGAGTGTTACATTGTACAGTGGCATAATGTGGACCTCTGCCTACCCCTTCGAGGATAAAAGGCTGTTATGTAACAAATCCTTCTGTAAAATTATTTGTATCTTGCATCAGTTTAGTAGTTTAATATAGGTACTTATACCATTAAAATATATTTCAGTTCATTTATAGAATTCAGAAATGTGTTCACCAACAACTGTTAGTTTTTTCAAATGTTGACTAAATAATTCCATATAAGATTAGACCTCCTTTACTAACTTGGAACCCTTGTCACAGACCACCGTAGTTGCTGTGCATCGTGGGGCGTGCCCCGTCAGTGTCTGGAATTATGCCGTGGCGGTGTGGTATCACGCTCCTGTGCCATGCATCACGCGCGCCGTGCACTAGCTTGCTTCAGAGACGCCGGTCCACGCCTGCCAGGACCACCACGAAACTTGCGCGCGCATCATGCGCCCACACCCAACTCTGTACTGCTCAGGTAATTTATTACTTAAAACGACCTTATTTTATAATACCAAAATATATTGTTTGTTGATTATGTATTAAGTTAAATCACATACCATAAGCCGTATTTTCTTTACCTATGAGATTCTTCTAATAAAAGCCTGTAAATCTTTTTATTCCTACGCCTGGTCTATATTCAATCGTATCGGATTGACCCATGATCTGCAGATTGTGTAAATGTCAATGAATATAAGAACAGAGCGTAGACCACGTACTCAACACACTCAAGCCCTATAATCTCCTGCAAAATGAGCTAACCTCGAACCGAAATCACTAACAAATATTATTATTATTTCTCTAACCAAAACCATTTTGATACAGTTGGGAGCCTCCACTAAAGAATCCTCAGACGGTATACCTGTACCGCGTGTTCTGGCGAGCGTACGGTGCCAAGGTGCCTGAGAAGCTGGACACCAGCGAAACCAGCGTAGTACTGACTGGTCTGCAGGACGATGTCAAGTACGAGTGCGTGGTCAAGGCAGCTAATGATGTTGGTGAGTAGACAGAAAGTACAGAACAACACACGTTGGAATATACAAATTGGTCCTTTAAAAAGTACTTTTAATCAAAAAAGATGTGCTATTAGTTTGTTGTATGGTTTAGTCTGCCCCACATAAATATTTTACATTTTCTTTTGTATATCATAGTAGATTTTATTAAATGAATATCAATTGGTAATCACCAATTTTCAGAGAAAAGTGCTTAAATATCAAGACAATATTTTAGAAACAGCACAACTGTTAACGTTTTATTTAAACCTAGGCAATTTGCTTAATTTACGGTCTCTTTACCAGGTACATCCTCATTGAGCTCGCCGATAATGTTCACGACGGCGGGCCAGGAGACTGGCGCCGCGGCCGCGCCCGTCAACAGCGGCGGCGCGGCACCGGCTGTAGGCGTCGCCGTGGCATGCCTACTGGTAGCTGCCATACTACTCGCTGCAGGCTTCTACTATAGATATAGAAAGGTAAGGAAAAGCTACTTATGTTTAAAAAGAGGGAGGGATGATGTTTATGATATAGATACTAATGGCAATTTTTCTCTTTCAGAATCTTAGACTTAAAGCACAAGGAGGTGTAGCATTTGAAAATCCAAGCTACCTCAGGGAACCAAATCCTGATACTGCCGTCAATGTAAGATTGCTCTTATACTTCACAATACAATTTTACTTAATGTTAGCATCCATCTAACTAAATTTCATTTTCACAGGGTACCGTGCCGAATGGCACCGCTAATGGCTCGAATGGCACCAACGGTGTGGCACCAATGGCCAATGGAGTATCAAATTCAGCGGCATGGAGACAGGAAACCCTGAATAACCCTGGAACTACAATCCCGAACGCTCGGGAGGTGGACCCGACGCTGTACGAGGAGCTGAAGTTAGGGCACGACGGGGCAGGGTTCAAGAGACTGAAGCCATAGCCCGAGGTGGCGCGTCGCTCCCCGCTCCGCTCGCCGCGGGTGGCGCCGCGCTACTGAGCGACCACAGCGCCGCCCTCGCATACACTACGCAACACGACACGGTTCTTACTTTCTCACTCCAATGATTTCATTCTTAATTCAAAGTGACAATTGTTTTTTTTAATAACGTGAGTTGTACTTTTTAAAATTTCATTCCATCAGTAATTATTTTGTAAAGTACTGTGCAAATATTATGTCTACCTTTTTAAAATGTATTTCTAAAATGACGGTTTAATTCAAACGATTCGTGTTCTAAAAAAGTGAGCGAGTGATCCAATATCGCGTACATTGAACTGTAGTGTTTCTGTATATTCAGATAGTTGAAGTGACGGAGCGGAGTGTAGATAATAAAATATTACGTATAATAATAATAAAAAAGTAATTATATTTTCAGTATCGTACTTGTTGTGATTTTAACCAAAAAAAGAAGACCTCATACCTTCTTGTCATTTCATGTAAATATTTATAACTCGCCAACGAAGTGGATACAATCATGTTACTGTAGAATGATTTACACTGTCGTTGGCTGGTATTAAGACGGAGTTTCTCTTACGCGTTCGACACAAAAAAATACGTGCAATAAAAAACAGAAAAGTTCGACAATTATTTGTAAATATTGAATAGCTTTTGTGGGAACGCGTGAAAGAAGTTTCGTCGTGAAGTTCTGTAGATCACTAGCTTCAGATAAAGACAGAATAAAATTAGGTCATTCTATAAACAAAGATGTGCCTTCAAATGTTTTATGAACTAATTAGTGATAGCTTAGTTACCTGTTCGGCCTGTAAATTGTATCTAGTGTAAATATATGTGTACACTAACGTTCAATAGTCATTTTGTACAGAATTTGAGAAAAGTCAACGAAAAAAATTGAAAAAACCTATAATTTTTTAGTCAAATCGCAAAAAAAATGATTTGACTTGACGAATAAAAGACTTTTCTCTGTAGTATATTATTATAAAGTAGTTTTGACAAGTGATTCTGAAACAATCTTTGTAATAAACAATAAATAATTAGGACATTTTGATATAATATAAAAGAAAAACAACTAAAAGTATTGTAAAAAAGTTTCGGACTGGCTCTGCCATATCAGTTAAGATTATTTTGTAATAAAATATGAAATGTTATTACAAGTTTCTTTTCGTTCTAAGTAAAGATCATGACCTAATTTCGATATAAAAAAACTTGGTAAATCACACTATGTATGTACGTAACTTTTTAAATGAATTATTTTTTTCGTTAAAATGATCTCATTGCTGACCATTCCATTGTTTGTCGCCTTGAAGGTTAAAAAAAACTTGATTGTTACAACAACAATAAAAAAAATATAATTTTAAAGACGCGTAGCAGAAACGTCATCTTTATTTTTTAAATAATTTTCTTTTATTTGAAAGAAAATACATTTTTTAAGAAAAAAAAAGTAAGAAACTATTTTTAAGTGAGAAAAAAAAGTGTACAGATTAAAAATGTCTTCTTTGGTAAACTATGGCCTAAATCTCGTACTACCCTCAAAAATCTCGGACATAGTGTGAGAAAACATTGCTCAGATGTGATTGATAGTTTAATTTAGCACTTCTATCAAACTAATTGTATAATTTAGATGAACAAAAGGATGTGATTAGATTTGTAAATAATATTAATAAAAAGGACAAATATGTTTTTGATTTGTTTCATTTCAATGTTCACCTGTAATAAATTATTATTCCTATAAGGTCTACCTTATAGGAATAATGAATTATATTAATTATCGTATTATAGAAAAACGTCATATAAAGATATTTTTTTTATTATATGTATTTTGCCCTAAGTATAAACAATTTTAATGGCTGAGTTTGTAAGTATTTTCCATATTAACGGTACTTACCAATAGTGTAGGTCAAAACTTGACTTTTAGACTTGTAGAGTGAGCCTTTAGCTCCCTCCTAATCAATGAGACTTATGTCGGAATACTCAAACGCTACTAAATTTTAAGTCGCGCTTAAGTATAGTTCTGTCTCCACAAATTCTTTGAAAAATGACAGAGATGGCACGATATTTAAGCACGACTTAAAATTGAGTAACGTGAGTTTTTAGTATTCCAGCATTAACTGCTTGAATGCACCGATATGAGACATAATAGAAAATTTATTGTGTCTTACGTGGATCCACATCTAGACACACGACGGGTTAAGGCTCCGGCACGGCTCAATTATCTTATTATTATCACTGTTTCATATGACATATTTCATGACGTCAATATAAAAAAACTGTAAGCGCGCCGATAGCGCACAACATTATCTTTTTTTCTTTCCTCTTTGGCAACTGAATGTGAAAAACGAAGTAGTCGACTATACTGCCAGTGTCGAGTGGTGACGGCAGATTAATGAACCGTCGAACTTAACATTGCGGTAGCTCATAACATTAAAACCATTTTGTATTGATTCCAAAGCAGAAAGCCGTGACTGTTAAGCGCGTTGACCTTAAAAATATTATCTGCCTGTAGCTACCCCTTTGAAAAAAGGCGAGATGTAATATCCTTATGAGTGACATAAACGGAAATACTTTCAAATTTAAACTTCAAACAATAACAAACATCAGTCTCATTCTATGTACAACAACTTAGTCTCCACAAAACAGCACTTAAATCTAAGAAATATAGGAAACGAGTCGACGAGAAATAACACAGTTTCAGACAGCTAACAAAATGTCTGTTGCTTTGTAACTTAACAAGTAAAATATACCCTATACTTATTACCAGTAAGCTCTATTTTCTTTCACAATGTATCATGGTACAAAATTGTCGCAAGTTAATCTTTAATTTGTTAGATTCCTAGAAATTTTCTAGAGAAAAGTCCTAAGTATTTGAGATTCTCATTTTTTTAACCTTGCCCCACATTATGATCTTCTCATGTATCGTGTGTGCGTTTACGAACATACAAGTTTACATACACATGACATCCAAACCCGGAACAACAATTTGTGGATCTCACAGAGTTGTTCCGTGCGGGAATCGAACCAACGACACATTGCGCTTTTTTGTTGTTTTGGTTACTAATATCTTTGGTTCTTTACTAACCATAAACACACGTAATAGATATTTAAAAAAATAGAACATTACGCAAACGCAAAAATCGATTAAATTGAAATTATGAATTATGTATCACATTCTTAAGTCTACTTTTACAAAGCATTTTTTTTAAATACTTTCATGTTAAAGTTAAATAAATAAAGTAATCCTCAAAAATTGTGGCAAAAAGAGCAGAGACGGTGACAATATACATTCAACAGAGTCTGAGATAAAAAGAATATTTAAAAAAAATACTACCTCTATACTACTATTCAAGGTTTCATTTCTACAATACTAGTCACATTAACCTTCCTAATTACATTTAAACACCACAAACTCAAACGCTGCTCTTTTGTTTTATTTATAAACATTTAACCGGTTGTACTCTAGCAATGTTTCAGGAGATATGCTCCATTATCCGGTCAATTAGGCCCCGACCACGATGCAATCCCATACAGGGTGGAGAAGGGGTGAATGACTGGAGTAAATTGCTCAAAGAGAGACTCCCTGTATTACCTTCTGACTATAGTTCAGGAGTTGGAACCAACTTTTACATGATATGAAACGTGCATTCCCAAAAGTTTAACAAACATATTCTGTGTGTGTGTGTGCATTTGGGAGTATCATATAAACTGTTTTATGAGCGAATAGTTTTGGTATTTTAGTTCATTTTGCATTAAATTGTCAATAAAGTAATAATACCGTAATAATCGTAGCAATTGCGTTCCATAGTCTTTGCCTTACACAGAGTAACATCCACTTTTCACTATTGATGTTATGAGTCCCATACTCCCATGTAATAGGAGGTGAGCCTATTGCCATATACCGGGCACATTTCCAGACTCCGTGCTGCGTTCCGAATACTGAGATTTTTAAAAACCCAGTAATATTTTGCCCGACCCGGGAATCGAACCCGAGACCCAACGAAGCAGTCATTGCTCATTACAGAGTGTGGATAAGAAAAAAATATACTTCAATATTTAACATAGAACATAGTATCTACATCATAATTTGCAACGCCTAAAAAAGGGCCGTTAAGCTGTGCCTGTTATTTCATAAGACCTGTATGTATTACCCAGCGCCGTAAATAGGGCGGTGCCAGCGGTGCCCAGGCACAGGGCGCAGACCCTGGAGGGGCGCAGACCCTGGAGGGGCGCAGAAATGACCAGACCGCCCTACTGTACTATCTAAATCTGTATCGCATTCATAAACGATCTTGAATCAACAACACATGTCAATCGACATCAGAGAAATGTATACGCCCGCCCGCCAAGAACACCGCTCCAGGACCCCACGGCTTGCATGGCAATGAATGCATAACGATGAAGTACCTGGGACTCGTCCTCGACAGTCGGTGGAACTTCGTGGAGCACTTCCGACGTTTGACTCTAAAGTTGGAGAGGACGGGGGCTGCGTTTAAGCGCATCCTCCCCAACCTCGGGGGGCCAAACGCCTCCTGCCGGAGGTTACACGCCGGGGTCGTGCGGTCCATGGCCCTCTGCGGCGCCCCTGTGTGGGCCTGATGCGACGGCCCGCTCGGGCGCTGCTCATGTCACAGAGAGTCATGGCGATCCGAATGATCCGCGAATACCGCACGATCTCCGGGAAGGCGGCGAACCTCCTTGCCGGATTACCCGCCGTGGGATCTGGAGGCGAAGGTGCTCGCGCGCGTGTATCGCATTATATTTTCATGCACTTTGTCCATTTTATTGTCAGAGCCTGGTAAGAACATTTTTCAAGGGCGCAATTTTGAAAGCTCACACAGCATTTAAGGCTAGTTACGGCACTGGTATTACCTTAACATGTAAATACAGACTTTGAGTTTGAGTTTAAAGTACCTAGTAATTACAAAAACTGCAAGACTACGCATTACGCCTTTGTAAAGCATCAGTCAGTCTCCAACCTCGACTAAAGCGCC